TCTGAGCCTACTGTGAGAACAGCAACTGGGTACGCCTAACTTCATAACAATACAGTGGGCTGTAGTGTTTATGATGCCTAGAGTAACACTTTTAAAGCAAACTTCCATTTAAGTTGCTAAGCAAACATACCCACATGATGTTGACTTTCCCAGCACTATTTTTAAGATGCAAAACCTTGATTAATATGCTTATAGGCAATGTTTTGTCCACATCCGTTTCTAATTGAAGTGTACTTACTTTGTGTTATGTTTATGCTGGCAATATCTTACTTGTAAACACTACCACAAATGTTTTAAAAAACAAAGATGCTACGCTATTTACCAAGTGTTTTTTGTGCTTCTCAGCAACTGGTGATCGACAATGCCAGGGAAAAGATTTTGGGCAGCAAATCCCTGCAAGAGAAGTTGGCTGAAAATATTAACAAAATTCTTGGAAGGTAAAACCGTTATCTAGTTAATACATTGTGTGCCTCCTCCTTAGACTGCTGCCTCAGGTAGTGACTTGATAATTGCAAGCTTTCACTTTTGAATAGTAATAGAAACAATGCAATTTTATTCATGCCGCTCAATGACTACCTCGTGACTGTTTTTACATTTTAGCTGGTTTATTAGTCACAATTCCTACCTTTGTATTACTATAGTGAACCTGCTCCTCATACCTCCAAACAGAGTGATGGTGGTGCTGTTGAGCAAGATGCTTCAATTGATGAAATCCTTGGCCTTCAGGTAATGAGGTTTTGTCTAACCACCATCTTTTTATTGTTGGCTTTGATCTGTATATCAATCTGCTCTCTCATACAACCTAACTAAATCTCTTATATGTATAACAGGGTGGGGAGATACACATGTCAGAAGAAGCAATTCGTGATATACTAGTACAAACAGAAATGGACCCAGATTTCCAAGAACTTTATGACCTTTTTGCTTGTAAGTGTTTCTTAGATTCTCCTGCATTATCCTAAAAGTCAGAATTGTTATTATTATTTTACATCTCCATCAGAGCTTACACAACAGTTTACGCAAAATCTTTTCAGTTCTCGTCTTTGCATCTAGAGGCACAGATTTGGGGAATTGATTCTATACCGGGGGTTTAGGATCTTTTCTTATTCAATTATTTTGTTTTTCTAATTGTCAGAATTAGATTTTTATATTATTATAAAAAAAAATATATATATATTTTTTTTTTTGCTCCAATTTCTGTTTGTTAAAATTGTATTTCATTGTGTGTCGTGCTTTGTGCATTTTATTTTTTTATTTAAGGTTCATCAAAAGCAACAAAATATATGCAAAGAGAACTTCCTATTTCAAACGAAGGAACTGCTCGGAGTAAAGTAGCTGCAATAGACAGTTACCTTGACTCTGTGGAAAGCTCCTTTGACACAGATGGTAAGTTGCACAAGTTCATTTTTTCTAACACTTGTGTTAGCTGGTAGCCAACCTGGATTATTATTTTACTTATCAGTATGGAATCAATGCAGTAATACAATTTAATTGTGATTTTGTTCTTTCTCCTGTTGGCAGATTCTACGTCACCAACAAATAACCCAGCTAATGCATGTTCAAACAAGACAGCCATGGAAATTGGAAGAAAAAACTTATCCCTGTTAAAAGATGACTGTGCATCATCTCATCCAAGTGAAAATGAACCAACTGCCTCATCAGATCATAGTTTAAGTCCAACAGGAAGCCACCAGAGCATTGATTCATCTTCCACCATCGACCGAACTGGGGAAGATACCATAACGGAAGCAGATAAAGCATCACAAGAGACTATGTCAGGGATAGATTTTTCACAAACTTCAGATGTTGAAATGAAGAACGTAACTGATGAAGTAAGTGTGGCTTCTTCCCACCTTGATGAAGCTGGTTTAACATCCAGCAATATATCTAATAACAGCCAAGTGCAAGAAGGCAAGAATTTAGAAAGTAATAGAGAAGCACAAGGAATTCCTACCAAAACCATGCCTGCTAAAGGGCACGTGTCGGAGAACACCCAGAAGGAAAATATAAGTCCTACAGCTACAAAACCATGTCATACTCTATCTCAACAGGTGAATGTGTTGGTTTCTCAGAAAGAAAATGACAAGCCAGATGTTGTGATCACGCCAGTTTGTGTAAATGATTCCAGTGATGATAATATGCTGAAACAAAAGCTTGCTGGCAATGAACAAAAAACACCACAGAAAGTGGCAAATGTAGATATCGCAAAACACCAGAGCCCTGTGGTGTCTGAAACACGATTAGTAATTCCTACTGTGCAGTTTCCTTCTCCAGCTGGTTCTTTTCCTCCCAAGCCTGTTGGCACAAGTTTTGAGTTTGTGGCTAGCAGTTCCGGTGAAACCGTCGTAGATCCATCACAAATTATTACCTTGAACATTATAACTGAGGGTCTAACAGAAGATACAGAATTAAATAATGCCGTAACAGCAATTGTTGGAGAAAAATTCCCAACTGTAATAATGTCGCCTCTAAACACTCCTCGGAACAGTGGAAGCTTAAGGTCTGCTCCAGACAGCTCAGTTGGCGATGTAGACGTTTTGTCGTCAGGGGATCAGAAGCTTACTGTTGCTCAGTTCAATGACCAATCAAGCACTGCAATTAATATTCAACTTGAAGACTGTTCAGTTTATCCACTTGTTGGCACTTCTAATCCTAACACTGATGGGGGGCTTATCCAGCTAATGCCAGCCACCAGTTCAACTGTTGGACCTTCCAACAATATTTTTATAAGTGCTTGTCCATCAAAAAGTAGCACGGCAAATCAATCCAACATCATGTTAATACCCAGTAATGCTTCTTCTGCTGGAGTACAACCACACACATGTGTTTTGCAAACACCTCCCAGACAAAGTAGCATTTACAGTGTTGGACAAACGTTATCTTCTAAACTCTCACAAGGTCAGTGTCTTTGTATGTTGTCAGTAAAATTGTAAGCAGCAATGATGTTCTGCTCTTTGGGGAGATAATGCTATATTGTCCATTATTTAAAGCTTTTTTAACAAAAAACAAAAAAATAAATTGTGAATTCTGGCCACAAGTGTAACTTCTGAATCCCTCATACAAACTAAACCAGTGTAAAGCAAGTCAGGAAAAAAGGGTTATAGTTGCAATGATTTATTTTAAATGCACCTTCTTTTAAGCAGCAATGTATCTAGCGTTTTGGTGGACTAAGGCTAGTCAATGCTTTACAACCCTCCCTAATATATTTGATATGTGCATTCATAGACACAAATGTCACACATACACAATCATACGCTCATACAGTCACATACTTCTCCCATATGTCCCCCTGCAGCTAACCTTTGTCGGCGCCGTGGGTAAAGAGAAGCCAATGTTATGGCACACAATAGTATCTAGAGGAGGGATTCCTTCCTGCCTCCTCTTTTAAAGGCAGCACAGTTAACATGCATTTGGTTCCAGAATATCACATCTGCTGTAGACTGCTTGAAGAAAAGATCTGAAAATCTTCCCCCTACAACCTTGGCTCTTGCAGTCCAAAGCCCTGGCTGTGCCTGGACTGATCTGGCTTATGATACCTAACATTAATATGTGCATGAAATAGGGGAGAGGATTAATAAAAGTGATTTTCAATGTTGTAAACATGCAAGTGAAATTAATGGTCAATTTCTACAATGAAATCTGTATTTCTATTTCTTTTGTTTACTGTATTATGTATGTTGCAGTGAAAATGTGTGTTTATGTATTTTAATTATTTTATTTTTAGCAGGTTCTACGATTATACTGGCGCCTCCAGTCCAGCCTATGTTGCAGAGTGTAGTGGGAATGTTCCCTGTGTCCCTAGTTGGTCAAAGTGGAAATACCTTCACTGCATCTTCTCATCAGGTAACTATATTTTTTTAATAACATTTTTACACCAAACTTTTTTTTTTTACATGAGAAAACGGTCCCAACATCATAGGGTTGTATTTTAGCATTGTGAATGCAATATAAATACAATAAACAGATACACAGTTTAGTGTTCTAATGTTAGTATCTATGAACAACTTTTTGATTTTAACCCAAAAGTTAGTATCTGATAGCTGTTCATAATTTCCCTTCTGTAGTCCTCATAATCCATGAGAACAATGGCTCCCCCCTTCACTGCTGGACGGACAGTGATGGACAAAATCGGATGCCAGCTCCTTAAAGGGACACTATAGCTATCAGAACAACTACAGCTTTAAGGTAGTTGTTCTGATGTCTACTCCATGTTTCTGCAGGCTTTTCAATGTAATCACTGCCTTTTTGAGATAAGGCAGTGTTTACACTGGTGCCTAGTAACACCTCTTGTTGCAGTCACTCAGACTGCCACTGACACTAGAGGTGCTTCCTTGGTCAGTGCTGCACAATGTGTAACATTGACGTTCAGCGTCTCCATGCAGAGCGTGGAGATGCTGAATGCTCCCCATAAAGATGCTGATTGGCATAGCGTTTTAACACACATGGGAAAGCATTGATTGTCTGAAATCGTCAAGAAGGTGAAGCAGGTCATGACAAGACCGGCGCTGGAAATAAGGAAAGTTTAAATAACTTTTACTCCTCCAACGAGGGCCGGTGACTTAAACATACACTTTATAATCTGACACTATAGTCTTCCATTAAGTGCATCTCTTTCTATTTAGAAATATTAGAATTCTTCTTCCCTCTCCGTGACTAGATTTCTACTATCCTTCTTGAGGTTCTGTGAAAATACTTCCAAAGAGGCATTTGCGGATGGGGAATCAAAAGTACTACGAAGCTCTAGAATTTCCATCTCTGAGTCCGAACGCTGTTCAGGTTCATCCTTAAAGTAATCGGCCAATCGTAATTTACATGTAAATTTAAATTGGTCCACTTCCCAATCAAACTCGCTAATGCCTATTGTGGGTATAAATGATAATCCATTGGACAATAAAATATTTTCAGAATCAGAAAGGGTGCTCCAATATAAATTCATGGTTGGGGGTGTTTTTTAACTGCACGGTGGTCGTCCCGTTGGAACTGTTAGTTTTCCCTTTCTGGACTTTCCTGGTGAAGCAATATTTGTACTGGTGCCTTGTTCTGTGTCCAATACAGCTTACATCCACTGTAGGTTTATGGAAACCTGATCAGTAGGGTTTGTAAAAGGGGAAGCTATTGTCTCCTGATAATCATGTGTAGACTCTATGTTCTGCAAAGTTGGCTTGTACATTGTCAAGTATTTTGCTGCTTGAATATAACCAAATCTTTAGATAGTTTCTGGATTCATGCATCACAATTAGGAGTTTCAAGGTAACTCTGTGTATCAACTGAGATATATATATATATATAATAATTTATACTTTGTAAAATGTCTAATGAGCGTTTGTTTAAAATATCAATCCACTTACAACAGACCTTGGGTTTGTGCCTGCCTTTTCTTTGTACACTTTTGATTCTTGAAGCTCCTTTTTTCATTCTGTAGTAGTCCAACCGATTTGTTGCATATAGTCCAAGTAAATCTACTTCTGTCAGAGTTTTTCTATATTTCGAATTACATCTTTGGGATCAGAAGGGGCAGGTAGATCCGCGTCTGTCAGCGGCCATAATATGGCAACTGCTTGCCATATCAGAATCACCCTTATTGGGTCCAGTGCGTGGGCTGAGATCCGGCTACTGATTTCAATCAAACACCCTTATGCCCCGCACTCACTTCTACAGGTCTTGTTGATACCTCGGTGTATGTATATACACTATATGCACAAAAGTATTGGGACACACCTCTTATTTATTGAATTCAGGTGTTTCAATCAGAGTCATTGCCATAGGTGTATAAAATGAGTCTGCATTTACAAATATTTGTGAAAAAACATGGCTCGTTCTGAAGAGCTTAGTGAATTAAAGCGTGATACGGTGATGGGATGCAAAATTTGCAATAAGTCAGTTTGTGAATTGTTATCCCTGCTTGTTATTTAACGGTCAGCTGTAAGTGGTTTTATTGGAAAGTGGAAGCATTTCGGAACAGCAGCAACTCCGTCCGAAAGTGGAAGACAAAGTAAAATCACTTGGGTGCATGGTGTGTAAAATTCGCCAGCCCTCTGCATCATTTCATACCTAAAGAGTTCCAAACCTCCCCTGGCATTAATAGCAGCACAAAAACTGTGTGGTGGGAGCTTTATGGAATGGGTTTCCATGGCCGAGCACCACCAAGTATAATGCCAAGTGTCGGCTCGAGTGATGTATAACGCTTCTCTGTTTGGTAGACTAATGGGCGAATCTGGAGAACTTAACCTGCCTGACTGCATTGTGCCAACTGTAACGTTTGGTGGAGGAGGGATAACGATATGGGGCTGATTTTCAGGGGTTGGTGCTTTATATATAGATATAGATAGAGATAGCTATTAGTGATGTCCCGAACGGTTTGCCGCAGACTCATCATTGAGTAAACTTTGACCCTGTACCACACAGTCAGCAGACACATTCCAGCCAATCAGCAGCAGACCCTCCCTCCCAGACCCTCCCACCTCCTGGACAGCATCCATTTTGAAGCTGCATTCTTAGTGAGCTGTCCAGGAGGTGGGAGGGAGGGTGTGCTGCTAATTGGCTGGAATGTGTCTGCTGACTGTGAGGTACAGGGTCAAAGTTTACTCAATGATGAGTCCGCGGCGAACCGTTCGGGACATCACTAATAGCTATATATAGATGGCTAGATAGAGATAGAGATTGATTTTCCCTGCTTGATATAACTATAGCAAAAATATCTAATTGTTAAAGGGTGAATGTGATGAGGAGGAACAAGTTGTAGGTTTAGTGAAGAGAAGGTGATTTTTTTTTTTTTTTTCAAACTTTATTAACGTTTCTGAGTATAAGGGTAAAGTGTCGAGGAAAGATTGTGAGAATGTAATGCTCCAAGGTTTCACGCATAAGGAGATCTGTATACAAAGTCTCTCAGAAACGAGTGATACTATATAGTGATATAGATTCTATGTGCAGTTGAAATAAAGAGAGGGTTATTGCAGAATAATTTTGAATGTGGACCAAGAAATGGCTTCTGCTGCTTCAAAAAAAAAAGTAATCCTTATTTTTTTTGCAGGTTTTGCATATTCCAGTTTCCAGCACTTCACGTCCTAAACTGCCTTTACCACCCAAGACACAGAAACCCGTAGCAGCAAGAAGTGTGAAAAACACAGGTATCTAAATCTAACCATTTTGGAAGATTAATTGATGGGATTGAACAGAGCTTATTGAAACACAACCAGGTTTAAGGGCTACTCCCCCAGCATAACACCCAATGCTCCTGTCATAAGTTATGATGTAAGGCGATCCTCAGCCTTGTTTTTCTTGCATTGGTAGATAATGCTTTACAAATTGTCTCTTACTGAAACACTGCATGTAGAGACTCCAAACACCATAACCACGTCAGATCACTGAAATGGTCATCGTGTTTGGAGTAATCCATTAGTATTAAGTGGGAGATGTTCGTGCCGTCTTTGTTTTTACAGATTGGCTTCTGAAAAAATATATATATATTAGGTTGAATTTAGAAGATACCCCAATAATCAGCATGTCTTTCGTATTCATTTTACAGTTTTCTGGTTTCTAGTTTTTGTCATTTCCTCCCCCTCCTACAGGTAAACCATTAAGAAATCAAGCAGTGGATTCTACAAGTCTTCCGTTGATATCAATTGGAAAAGGGTTCGTTATTTCAATATTTTTTTTTTTTGTGACATTTTCTGAACATGTGTGCCCTGTTTTCCTGCTGTTTAATTCAGAATGGTTGTCATGGCCTATAATACAGCTTATTAATATTTATATTCGTATTATTTATTTATTTATTTATTTATAGTGCAGACTTGGCTGAAAGAAATGTAACTTCCCGAATGTCAAATAAAGCTGAAGATTGTCCTGCACCACACACCACAGTTAAAGGAGCTGAAAGCCACAGAAGGGTATTGTGCTTTGACACCTTAAGAAAATCTGGTAAATCAGATACTCTGGCAACAGGCATTTCAAAGCTGCAGGATAACCACAATAATGACATTGTGAATGCTGACAACTCTATTGGAGTTTGTACTTCAACTGTAGAATCTTTGCCTAAAGACCAGAAAAGAACAGAAACAACCTTGGTTTCGGCATCATCTAAAGATCGAATTGCTGAGGACAGACGTGTAGCTGTTGGATCTTTGGTAGGTAGTTCTTGTGTGGTCAAAGCCAACAAGGAAAATGTCCAAGGGATGGAACCAGAAACACAGGGACTCAAAGACCTGACTAAAGAGAGCACTATCAGTGAACGCTCTGAAAAAAATGTTCAGCCTGGGCAGGAAGCTGGTAAAAAGAGGTTTATGCCTAAAATACTTAGAAGAACACCACAAAAGTTAACTACAGAAAGACCTAACCTCACAAGTTTGCCAGCCAAACAGGAAAGTGAGCCATTTCAGGGAATTCAGTTTCAAAGTCCAAATGCAAAGCATGTGGAGTTGCCAGTACCACGCACTCCTGGATCTGGAGTTGATGATGGCATGCTGGATGATACACCAGACTCAACAAGAACCCCTACATGTAAACGTTACAGTGATGATGGTGGCACACCAAAACCAATGCAGCCTCCTACAACCCCTGATTTTCCCAAGTGTAGTCCTGCCAGCGAAGCTGGTAGTGAGAGTAGTGTCAGCATAGCTGCACATACACTAATGATCTTATCACAGGCTAGCATGACAAAGGTTGGAAGTAAAACACCACTGAAGGACAACACACAACTTGCCAAATCTTCCAAGGGTACCTCAAAGAAGAGAAAGATTGAAGAACCTGATGATAGGCATGCCCATAGAACTGAACACCACAGCCCCACATCAACTCTGAAAAAGAAAAAAACAAAGGTGAGAACAAACGTTTGGTAAATTTGTTTCACATGGAATTCCTCAACTTTTTTGTGTGGGTGAAGGGGATATTAATGGGCCATACCAGTGGCATTATCAGAACATAATCATATAATTCCTGTAAGATTCTGAACTAAGAATTTGAAGAAATGGTTAATCCAGTAAGAAGTTTTGCATTTTAATTTTAAAATAATTTACAACAATGTTTTTGAAATTTCTTAACCTGTTAGAAGATTAGGGAGAAGCTGGGAACAATGGGCCTTGTGCATCAGAGAAAGGATGGCAGAGTGAAGGGGCATGGTGGATAGGAGAATGGATGGCAGGATGAAGGGGCATGGTGGATTGGAGAATGGATGGCAGAGTGGGCATGGTGGAATGGAGAATGGAAGTCAGGAAGAGTGGGCATGGTGGAATGGAGAATGGATAGCAGGAAGAGTGGGCATGGTGGATTGGAGAATGGATAGCAGGAAGAGTGGGCATGGTGGATTGGAGAATGGATAGCAGGAAGAGTGGGCATGGTGGATTGGAGAATGGATAGCAGGAAGAGTGGGCATGGTGGATTGGAGAATGGATAGCAGGAAGAGTGGGCATGGTGGATTGGAGAATGGATAGCAGGAAGAGTGGGCATGGTGGATTGGAGAATGGATAGCAGGAAGAGTGGGCCTGGTGGATTGGAGAATGGATAGCAGGAAGAGTGGGCATGGTGGATTGGAGAATGGATAGCAGGAAGAGTGGGCATGGTGGATTGGAGAATGGATAGCAGGAAGAGTGGGCATGGTGGATTGGAGAATGGATAGCAGGAAGAGTGGGCATGGTGGATTGGAGAATGGATAGCAGGAAGAGTGGGCATGGTGGATTGGAGAATGGATAGCAGGAAGAGTGGGCATGGTGGATTGGAGAATGGATAGCAGGAAGAGTGGGCATGATGGATTGGAGAATGGATAGCAGGAAGAGTGGGCATGGTGGATTGGAGAATGGATAGCAGGAAGAGTGGGCATGGTGGATTGGAGAATGGATAGCAGGAAGAGTGGGCATGGTGGATTGGAGAATGGATAGCAGGAAGAGTGGGCATGGTGGATTGGAGAATGGATAGCAGGAAGAGTGGGCATGGTGGATTGGAGAATGGATAGCAGGAAGAGTGGGCATGGTGGATTGGAGAATGGATAGCAGGAAGAGTGGGCATGGTGGATTGGAGAATGGATAGCAGGAAGAGTGGGCATGGTGGATTGGAGAATGGATAGCAGGAAGAGTGGGCATGGTGGATTGGAGAATGGATAGCAGGAAGAGTGGGCATGGTGGATTGAAGAATGGATAGTAGGAAGAGTGGGCATGGTGGATTGAAGAATGGATAGCAGGAAGAGTGGGCATTGTGGATCGGAGAATGGATAGCAGGAAGAGTGGGCATTGTGGATCGGAGAATGGATGGCAGGAAGAGGGGGCCGGGTAGATCAGAGCGAGGATGGCAGGGATAGTGAACATGGGTGGATGAAAAAGATCGATGTAAGAGGAAAAAGCTAGTAAGGATAATGTATTTGAGACAATAGGGAGTGTTTGTGGGAAGGTCAAGACAAATGAAGGGTAAAACAGAAATATTGCATGGTAGGGAGAGAATGGCAGCATGATGAGGGGATAAGGAAAAAAAGGTGTTTGAAGTGGCCTTTACTCCTGTATGTTTCTTGTAGCACAAACTGATTTTCTTTTTTTTTTTCTTTTTTTCTTTTTTTTTTTTAAATGCAGAAACATCGAAGAAAAAGTCTCGACTATTTTCCCACTGGAATGGATGTAGACAAATTTTTAATGTCTCTTCATTATGATGAGTAAATGGATATGACCAGGTCATCCACATGAAGACTGATTTTTATGAGACTGTCGCTTTTGCACTGTATAGCAAGGGTCGCTTTATTAATGTGTTTGTAAATAGACCCAGCACTGTGAAAGGGTCCATATATATTGTAATATATTGCGGCACTAATGATGTTATGGAGCTTTTTTGTTTTTTTTCCTGAGTTGTTAATATGTTAAGTTTCATGGATAACCTATTAAAAAAAAAAAATACAAAAAAAATAAAGAATTTTTACAGCTTCCTTTTTGGGAACCAGGTGTTTGAAAATTGTCATTATAAGAATATCCTTTGTATATAAACGTCCATATTTTTGGAGGGTGTTTTTGTTTTTTTTTATGTGTATTGGTAATTTCTTTTTATTAAAAGAAATATTGGATCTCAAAAATTTTTGGTATCATTTAGTTGTTTAGACAAAAAAAAAAAACTGTTTCCTTATGGGTTACGGGAATCATTAGCTAACTGTTTAACCGAACGTCAAGTTGTTTCTGAATTTAGACTTGTAAATAGTATTTAATGCTTTCTTATAGGATTCTGTGTTAAGTGACAAAGTTTTACGAAAGTGCCTCTAGGAGGAACCAATGATTATAAAAAACACACAAGTAGTAATGTGGCGCTGGATCAATAATAAATAATTATACAATAAGCAGCACTATATATAGTGAAAAGGCTCCAATCACATGTACTATATACAACCAAAAGATAAAGTGCACTGTGCCTTTAAGACCAAAAATTGAATAAACAAATTGTATATAAATGATTAAAATAAGTGAAAAGTATTTGTGCAATAATATATGAAAAAAAGTAACCAAGTGCACTTGTGCAAAACAAACTTATTAATATGTGCAAATATATTTCTTTGTACAAATATGTTAGAAATTTATACTTAACTTTCTCCCTTTTGGAGTATACCCTCTAGCTTGTGTCAGCATTCCAATACAAATCTCAAAGAAAGGCGAAACAAACTAAAGGGGAATATGTTTGAATAATAAATATGTAAAAATATAAACAGAAACGCTCACAAGGGTAGAGCAATGAAGTCTTCTCTGAACTGTGATGGCATCTTTTGCAAAATATGCAGACTTAAAGCTGTGGTGAAGGTAGAAATCTTTATTAACACTTTCCAATAAAAACAGCTGCCAGGCAGATAAGTCCCCTTTATTTTTACTTACTCTTCTCTTAATGATGGTATGTTGGCTCTCTTGGTCCAGCGCCAGCTTTGCAGGACACTGAGAGCCGAAATCTCTGACCACCAATTCCGGTAGGCGGGGCTTACGGCCATTGAGCGTGACGACTAAATGCTCGGCTTCATCAGATCCGCCCACTAATCCACCATAGTCGCAATTCAAGTCCTGTTAAGGGGCATGTTTGCCAAAAAAAGTCAGCAAATCTGGCTCTGTAATTGGCCACCGTCCAATACCTTATTTGCATACATGATAGATAAAAGCCTACTTCATTACTTCAATAGGGGATTATCTAAAATGCTAAAAAAATTACAAATTCAAATGGATATAAAACAGCCATAATTAGGTTGGTTAAAAGATAGAGATACACACATTATGTTTTGATATATTACAATCCATATTACTGCCCATAATAATCCAGAATAAATATAAATAATGATTACTAAGTGCAAACAAAACTTGTTTATCTACTAAAAAGGGGAAGATAAGAGAGGTTAATACATATTAATGTAGCCTGCTATATTACATATCCTAAACATGAGAATGAATATAAATTTTTTAAAAATGAGTTTCCCCATATACCCACATTTTATACCTTACCTAAGGTTCATAAAGATATCTAAAATCTACTGGGTAGACCTATCGTTTCCGGCATAGGCTCTTTTTCTGCTAACCTATCCAAATTTGTAGATATTTATCTACAAGACTTTGTAAAAGTTATGCCTTCTTATATAAAATATACCACAGATATTATTAGGATTTTAAGAAATACAAAATGAGAAAAAGATTTTATATTGGTAACCAGTGACGTATCATCTCTATATACCTCTATACCACATGGTTTGGGATGTCAAGTGATTCAAGGCCAATTGGAGAATTCTCAAAAAATGTCCAAGGAATGTATTAATTTTATTATAGCGATTATAGCTTGGATTTTAGCTAATAATTATTATTTTAATAAGTATTATTTACAGCGTCAAGGCACTGCCATGGGGGCCAAGTTTGCCCCTTGTTACGCTAATTTGTACATGGCAGGATGGGAAAACGAATTTGTGTATGGTAATGCCAGATGGGGGCAAACTTGACCCTGTATTGCAGGTATATAGATGACACAATATTCATATGGAAAGACCGTGAAGAAGAGATATATATATATATATATATCTCAAACAAATAATCAGCACTCCCAGGATTTGTAAATAAGCAAAAAAAATACTTTACTCCATAAGTCTTATGGAGTAAAGTATTTTTTTTGCTTATTTACAAATCCTGGGAGTGCTGATTATTTGTTTGCTTTATATTTATTGTGCAATCGAGCACCGGGTCCTAATCCTTTTTGGTAGGAGTGCAAGGCTTTTTGTTCATTGTATGTATATATATATATATATATATATATATATATATATATATATATATATATTTGTGGTCATGGCATAAAGCCGTAATATGAGTAACGTAAAACAAACAGTAAATGGAAATGTCAGTTGTGGTGTGCCGGAACTGACAAGGCAGTAGGCCTGAAATAAAAGAGGGCCTACCTTATGAAGTGCTAAAAAGGAGGTGTGGTGGGAGGGGCAACTCACCAGACCTAACAGGTACTTTTTTTTTTTTTTTTTTTGCACAGGATAATACAGAGGTTCACGATGCCACGACTGCATAAGCATACAGTGATATATGGCATGAGAAAGTGGCACAGTTTTTAAGTATATTAATACACAGGCTAGTCATGTTTGTCTAAATAGAAGTCACAGGGGTGAAAATAGATGCAGGCATAAAACAAGTAACGATAAGGACCTCGCTTAGTACATGTTAGCACGGTAACAAGATTAATAGGCAAGATTAAAATTATGGTGGCATACACACAGCATGTTCATTTCGTTTAGTCATATTAGCTGGGCTAGTGAGCTCAATATAACCAATGAATAACCAATAGGATATAGTTAATATGTGAAAAATGCACTTGCTAGATAAGTGCAGCGAATGTTATAAATAATTGGGAGTAAAGCTGGACGTGTGTGGTGTCTGTCATCCGATGCCCTGCAGGATCACGGAGTCTTCCTTGTGTGGCGGTCTGCGCCATGCTCGCAACAGTCCTGGAGTGCAGGTGAGAATGGTCCCTGTGTGGGGCTTTGACTCGCTCAGTGGGTATTGGTTAGTCCCGTTTGCGGATCTCCCTGCTTGGTGTGGTCGTGGGCTGCTGTTTTCCCTGTGCGGTCGGTCAGCTAGGTCTGCCATGTTGGGTCTCGTGCGTCGCCGGTTCCTTGGTCGGCCTCGACAGGCTGTACCTCTCTGGGGCCTGTGCTGAGTTGTGGTAAGTAGGCATGGTAGCTTTCGGTGTTTGCACCCTGGTTGCCCCCTGAAGGTCTTTGTCGGGCCTTGTCTGCTCTCTGTGGGGTTCCAAGTTTCTGCCTTCGGAGCGACCCGGATCAGATGCCTGCTCATCTTGGGAGTGGGGTCTGGGAGGGTAGTTATGTCCGTCCCTCTAACTTCTCCTTTTGGGCCCTTTGATGTGCCGTCTGGTGGCGTCCCCAGTGCAGGAGGCCATAGGAGCGGCTCCAGCTTCTCCCAGAAAGCACCGAATATGGCATTGAGACGGAGCTCTGTTTCTTCTTTGGCACTGCATGTGGCTGCGGTGTGTGGGTCAGACACCATGTTGTGGGCCTCATTAGCGTTTTCCCGCTTCGAAGATTGTGTTGCTTGGGTATCTCCCTGTTGTTGGCGGCAGGAGAGCGGCTGTCTCTCTTGTGCTTGCCATGCTGGTAGGCCTTGCCGGGGTGTCGGGTGCGCACCAATGGAAACGTTGCTTGATGAGTATCTACTTGTGCACCCCGTTGTCCTCTTGCATTTGGTAGTCTTTGTGTGGCTTTAGGTTGCCTTTTTAGAAGTTTAGTTTTGTTTTTTCTGTTGTCTTAGAACGGAGCTGCCGAGGCAGACGTCTACCCAGCTCTGTGGTCAGGCCCCGCCCCCCTATATCACTCATTTTTTAATACATGTTTCACTGAAGTAGTCAGACATTGTCAGAGGTGAAGTTAGGATAGAATATCAAGGAGTTACTAATGAGGAGGAAGCAGTTTAAAAAAAACAACAAAAAAAACAATATAGATATATTTTTAAATAGTCTTAACCAAAACAATTGGGACATTAACTAGCTAGCACAAATAGCACTACCAAAATAGAATTTTTGGATTTGGAAATATATATGGAATTTAAAACAAAGAATTTTTTGTGAATAATTATGTATTATACAACAGTGGACATTATACTCCATGCTTAAACAACATCACCAGAGGCCAACTTAGACGAATAAGAAGAAACTGCACTGACACGGAAATTTTTAAACAAGCACAACTTTTAAAAGGGCTTTTTTTAGATTAAAAATATCCCGAACAATTGGTTGATGAGGCATATGAAGATACGGTTATTTTAGAACAAGACGAATTGATTAAAAGGAATGAGGCTCCGAAAAATGAAAAAGAGCAATTAAATAATGTACTGTTAGTTTTTGATTTTAATATTGCTCATAGGGATGTAAAAAGGATAATAAATAGACACTGGCATCTAAAGAAGACACAGAGTTGGCTAAAATTATACCACAGAAAAACTTTTAGACGTGCCCCTAATTTTAATCTTATTTTAACTCCTAATCAACCTGGAAAAAATTTACAAAAACAGTTTATGAATGATAGAAAAGGTTTTTATTCCTGTGGTAAGTGTACAGGTTGTAAATATAGTAAAAATAAAACCTGAAAAGGTATAGGTAAATTTAAGAGCAAGTATAATGGTAATAAATTTAGTATTACTGATTTTATCACTTGTTTTACAAGAAATGTAATTTATCTTTTAATTTGTGGATACACTTGGATGTTATGTCAGTATCCATATAAAAATAATTACCGTATATACTCGAGTATAAGCCGACCCGAATATAAGCAGAGGCCCCTAATTTTACCACAAAAAAAACTGGGAAAATGTATTGACTCGAGTATAAGCCTAGAGTGGGAAATGCAGCAGCTACTGGTAAATTTCTAAATAAAATTAGATCCCAATAAAATTACATTAATTGAATATTTATTTACAGTGTGTGTATAGAATGAATGCAGAGTGTGTGTTTGTGTGTGTATATAATGAATGCAGTGTGTGTTTGTGTGTTGTGTGTGTATATAATGAATGCAGAGTGTGTGTTTGTGTGTGTATATATAATGAA